AGAGTAAGCTTTATAAAAAATTTCATTTGAATTAAGAATAATATACCTTTAGAAACTCATGGTTGATGTTTATATCAATTTCATTAAATGATTTTAAAACATGTTAATATGGAAAAAGTAAATGTTAACTATCTTTGGTTTATACGTATATAAATATATTTATTTATATAAGTGATAAAGAATAAGAAATATATTAATAGTTAAATTTATTGACTATGAATTTTTACATAAAAATGACAAACATTTTGAATTTTTTATTTTAGTTAAAATTGAAGAGAATTATTTACGAAAACGATATGATTCTGAAAAAAAATGTTTTTTTTAAACATACCTAATGAGATCTACAATAACTATAATATTAATATAACTTACAAGTTAAAATACATTTTTTTTACTTTATTTTTTAATTGAATTTTTTTTAGTTAAGTAATTTTGAAATAAATCTGATAACAGAGTATACAATATTAATAACCGAAAATTATAAAAAAAAATATTTAATTTTTCAATTATCATACTGAATTACTATTTTAAAAAATGTATTAAATTTAAGTTTAAAATATTGAAATAATTTGTTTGTAATAAAAAAAAATGTTTATTATGAAAGTCTTATAAAAAAGTTAAAGATCTGGAATAATAATTTTTAAACCAACTTAAAATATTTAAAATTACACCTACTGTATTTATTATACTAAACAAAGTCAGTAGTATGATAATAATTGCTGTTTATCATGTTCATCTATAGTGTTATAATTAGTCTCTTTTAAATAATAATTAATTTAAATTTATTATAATAAACAATATTAATTTTAAGTTGCTTTAATTACATTAAAAAAATGATAAGAGTACAACTCACTAATTTTTTACACAGCAAGATCATAAAATATACAAAAAAAAATTAGTGATTTTTTTTTTTCTTAGAAAATTCTAATTACAAAGGATTTTATTTTTTTAATGAATCGTTAATTTTTAAAGTTTTAAATGACGCTTGATCAAATTTCAATATAATAACAATTATAATAACTATTGTTGAATATTACTATAAATTAAATTTTAATTTATTATAGTATACTTCCTATAGCTTAGAATAGAAATATTTGTACAGTGTGATTTATTTCAGTGTTTAAATATATTTTAGGTAATATTCTTTATAAGAGTACCAGGTTTATTAGTTTTAAATGCAACATATTTAACTAGTTCACTTAATAAAAAATAATCCAACTAAGAAAATGACACCTCCACAATAACTTTTGAAATAGTATTCGGGAGTAATTAACATTTTTTATTTTGACAGGAGGTTAGGTGTGGCGTATATTATTTTTAACATATCACATAACTCTGCACAACACTTTCTACCCAGGTATAAAAAAGTTTATAACTCGTTAACTACTGATTGAAAAGTTTTAATAAACCAATCAAATTCTTAATTGGATTTTTTTCAATTTTATGAAATAGTTTAATCTGTATGTTGCCATTAAAAAAAAATAAAGTTGGAATCCTTATAATAGATAAGTGATAAACCTAAAAAATATTTAATCACTCAAAAATTGGGGAATATTTAAGAAGCCAAAAAAAAATTCTCTAAATAATTATAAGTTTTTAAGAAATCTATTGCTCAACGATAAAACAATCAATAAGTATAATTATTAGTTAAATGAAAACTGAGTGCTTAAAACGCAGAAGTAGTCTTATCTGTCCGTTATGGTAATAACGAACATCGATAAATACAATCCCGTTCCTCACCGTTTTTCAAATTTAAAATGCTAATATCTCTAATAAATTTATTATTACAAAACTGTTTTTCTACTTATAAAAATTTTATTTAGACCATGCTTTATTTAATAGCAAAAATATAGTTTCCCATTTAACCGTCAAAAACTATCCTTAATAAAACACCTACTAAAAAACAGTTTTTTCTTAAAATATGGTTTATAAAAATTGATGAAATTTTAATCTATATAATTTTATGAAAAACTCAATATTTAACGAAAAAATATTGAATATTATAGTACATTTGATAAATAACACTGTGTATATATTTATGTTCTAAGCTATAGGAAATATGATATGATAAATTAAAATTTAATTTATATTAATTTAAATGACAGTTTCTTATCATATAGAAATTTGAAAAATTATTATTTAAAACATTATTTTTCCAATTCATTAAAAAAATTAAATCTTCTCTTATTAGACAAAATACATAAAAATATAATACTATATTTATGTAGTATATATAATAAATTACAATGTATATATTTATATATATATATATCTTTTCGTCAAATAAACGTTAATTTCATTAATTTAATTTTCATTTTTTTGCGAATATAAATCTAAACGTTTATAATTATAATAGTCGATTAATGTTAAGTGTTCATACTATCCTAATTAATTAATAAAATTATATCATTAAAAACTCGTTATAAATAGTAAATTTTTCTTTTTTTTTCGTTTGTATCCCTTAACTATAAAAAATAATGATATATTAATATCATTTTATATCAATTTAAAAAATATCAATTTTAGATTAATGAAATTAATAAAAAATAATTTTTAAATATGTATACATAAAAAAATATACAATTTTGTCATTATTGATTAATTTTACCTTCAATTCAAAGCTGAGAATGTATTGATTTTACTATGATATGTTTTTTTTTTTATTACTTTTTGTGACTGTTACCACTTTTTCTCAGCTTTCGCCGAACCGATGTCTTTCAACGATACGTCAAATATTACAAATAGTACTAGTCAAAGATAAAACCCTTAAAAATTTCTCACATTTCTCGTAAATGGGGGAAAATATCCAAAAAAATTACAAATTTAAAAATCATTAATTTTACTTAAAATTGTCATAACTTTTTTTAAAAATGATCAAATCAATATAATTTTTTTTATATAAATATGTTAGGTACTTATCTATCATTTGGTATATTTTTTATATAAATCTAACCCTTTACCAGACCTCAGAGGGTGATTCAAAATGACAACTTTTTCAACATAACTTTTAATAGTGTACCGGAAATACTGACACTTTTATATATACTTTTATATATATTTAAAGTTAATAAAAAAAAAAATACAATTATTGTAAAAAATTCTTTTTTATATTTTTAACTTTATAATGCTATAACTCTTTGAAAAATGTATGGATTATTATAATTTTTTTAAGATAAATATTATTTATATTCTTCTTTTATGCGACACACTTTTTTTTAATCGGACCCTTTCCCTTTATATATTATAAATATATTACACTTATAAATTATAACATCTGTAATCAGAATAAAAATATGGAAATAGGAGATCATGTAGATTTTGGAATGATCCACCAATTTTTTAAAATTAAACACTATCTACTGATTTACATCGAAGCGTTTTTTATGATAGTAATTTTAATCACTGACAGATATCATCTATACTGGACCCAACTATGCCACGTCCTCACTGTGCCGCGACCCCATTGTGTTAAGTTTTTTTTTATATATTTGATATTATTGAAAAAAAAACACTGTCATACCTTTTAATTGTACCTTTATAATTCAGATACACCGAAAAGTTCGCTACTATTTGCAACAAATCTACTAAATTTGGAAAATTATGATTAAAAATTATTTTTAATAAAATTAAACCATTTAAAAATAAAAATGATTCACACATTTTCAACATTATAATTGGCATTTGTGTAATTTAAATTTAAAACACCTTTAACAAAATGTATCGAGTTAAATGTTAGCGTATTACGTAGACCCATCTTAAGATATTTGTGGTTATACACAATCCATAGTATTTAACTACATGGATCAGAGTTCTAAATTAAACATAGTGCTGTTTGTTAAATTTAAGATTACAATACCATGTTCCTTGAAATTAATCTACTATAAATCTTTTGAACTAAATAAGTGACACTTATTATACTATTATACAATTGAAATAATTAACTTAAGTTTGAGAAAGTAACATTTTGAGAATTGATTAATCTAAACTTTTAAATATATCTTATTTAATGAAGAATTAATATTTAAATTGTTTATTCTAATTTTATATTAAAGAAACAACGATATTGTTGAACTTAATTCCCAGTTACTTCGTAAATAAGTTATCAGGCTTTGCTTACAAATAAAATTATAACAACATAGGGTACAGTCCCTAAATTTGGCTTAATTTTGATGAATGCCTTATTAATTATTAATGTACTTACAATAATCGTTTTTGCAAAATTAGCTAAGTTTCTACAACGCAATATTTTTAATTTACTTTGATAACATTATTATAAAATCTCAATCATACATTTAAATTACTTAATATTTTGTCACAATTAAGATTTTTTTACGACAAATTAGAAAATGAAATTAATGCAAATTATATGTTCCAATGTATTGATCAAAAATGTCATTGATAAAATGTTTCATCTAAATCGTTGGCGATATCCTTATAAGAGGAACTATATCTAACTAACTGGGACTATTACAAGTTGCGTCTAACTAACGAGGGATAGGCTGATTGTCATTAAACCTCAGAAAATCCCATGTCCAGCACTTGTGTACATGCATTTTAATTACGTATTCACGAGAGATTAAGTACACAGAAGTATGAAAATATTTACGGTAACTGTATTTTATTTTAAAGTATGCTAAAAGATATTTTAAATACATTATTGAAATATTTTTTATCTAAAGTTCATTATAATTCATTTTAAAGTTCATTTCACATATGCTTATTTATTTTTTATAACTTAGTAAAACAAGTAAATTTATCTATATAAATCTAGTAATGTGATTCCATAAGGCCTTGTAAATATAATAAAAATATTTTTTTAATTATAATAAAAAAAAAATTACGTGCTAGCCATACAATATAGATAATTACTATTTAAAACTATCAAAACTATTTAAAATCCAGAATCATTTAAAACTTATGTTTCTATAGTTTCATTAAATAAATAAGTCTTAATCTTATATATTTTGATTACTATTCATAGTATACTCTTATTTCGGTAGATATAAAATCGAGTAAACTATTTCTATTTTACATGGACCTAAAAGAAGAGATCAAAATTTCTGAAAATGTAAGTAGTAACGCGTATTATAAAATAGATAGGTAATCGACATTTTTCACGGTTACATTGACTTATTATTACCAACTCAATAATATCATATGTATATATAATAATATATATATATATATATTGATTACAATATAGTAATTTATGTAGTAATTATATTTAGTCAAATTTTGTGATTTTTTTAGGATATTCTTGAAGAAAACTGGATAGATTATGAATCATACTTGGAACGTAATGGAGTGACCGGAGCAATTTTTAATGTATTAAATAATTTGTTTGAAAAAGACCCTTGGCCTAATAGTCCATATCAGTAAATATGATATTTTATTTATTGTCAATTGAGAAAACTTATTTTTTAATTAATATAATGTTTTATTTTACAAATATATTTTTTAACTGATTATTTAACTATTTTTTAACTGATTATTTAAAAAATGTAGATTTGAAGATTCCTATCAAACAAATTAAGTTTTACTTAATTAAAGCCTACAGACTATTATAAATTATATTTTAATCGATGTTTGAAATAATTATCAAAAAAACTTATTAACCTTTAGTCGTTCGCGTGGGGTAAATAACGGAAAGAGCGGGCATGTTGACGATTGGGGCAAGTTTATCAATTTTGTTTAAAAAAATATAGTAGTATTTCTGAATTTTTTTGTAAGTATTTTAATATATTTTAACTAAAAAATGACAATTTTTTTCAAAAATAATTGAAATTAACACATTTATTTTAAATAGAACTTTAACCTTTTAAACAAAAATGATATAATATTGTAGTTTTATGACGCCGGGCTTTAACTTGATTGTGAAAAAATAAATAAATAATTTTTTATCTCAATAACTAAAAAAAATTATTTCGAATAAAAGTATTTTAAATTTTAAGTCTTATTCAAATTAGATGACTACTAGGAGAAAATATTTTGTTGTATTACTTCGTATTGGGATTTTTAATACCTTATTTTTTATATTAGTCTTAGATAAAGTTAAATTGACGTTTTATCAATGTGTTAAATTTAAGTTCGCGCGTGTACTGTTTCGACAAATATTTACCCCACTCGAATTATAGTTTTTTTTTCTATACAGTTTTTATGGAAAATATTTGTCAAATATGTTGAGCCAGATAGAGATAAATTTACCTTAAGTACTTTAGTACTAAAAATAATAACGATAAAAACAATCATATAATATATTTTCTACGCATTATGTATATAATTATATTTTTAATTATTACGCTATATACAGTGTTCAGAAAGTAAGGAAACAGATTTCTATTGTTCTCATTGATTGCAATAATTGATCTGTATACTTACTTACTGTACACTCTGTATATTGGCAAATATTAATTCAACAAAAAAATGAAAAAATAATAGAGAATAATAAGAAATAAAATAATAAATTTTCTAGTATTCATTTGATTATACTTTTATAAAAAATATATAAAATTTCACAAAAATTGTGGGCTTAACAAGTAGTTTTATCCACGAGTAATTATTATCTTAAGTTTTATATATTATTTTATAGATACTTCTATGAAAAATTAGGAGAATGTTCAGAAATGCGCGTGACTAGGAATAAAATACGGAAAAAATATTCTAAATTAATCAATGATCTCAAATCCATAACAAATGAGATAGAATTTTTATTATTAATACGGGATAATGGCCTTAAATTAAGCTTATATAAAGATTTTGTTAACAATCTTCCTCTTTCAGAGACTTATAATATCAAAAACAAAAAGGTAAAACAAAATAAAATTATTCAATAAGAATATTGAAGACATGTATAAAGTATTGATTTTTTACAAATGAAAATATAGCTATGGCATCATACTTAAGTAATATTTTTTGTCATGTATTATCTTAGATAATATAAGAATGTAAAGTTTGTCATGTAATCTTTTTGTGTCAGATGAGCTTGTTATATTTTATTAAAGATTAATAAAATAAAACGTAGTATTATAAGAAAAATCACAGTAACAATAACAATTATTATTGTTATTGTGATTTTTCACAGTAATAGTATTTTATTCGACTTGAGAAAATAAAATTGTTAAATTAATGTTAGCGCAGTTATTATTGTCAATTTTTCAATCTATTTTGCTTTTATTAATGTAATGTGAAAAATTTTAAATGATTTTCATTCAGATTATAAAAAAATGGTATAGACTATTAATAGAAAACAAAGAAGAAATTTTAAAGCATACGGAGTGATTCTTTCAAACGTTAGCGACTTTATATCTCCTTAAATAATAAAAACGTTGAAATTTTTTATCAATTTTTTTGTTAGTTTTATGTACTATTCAGTTTATTTACAATCATGTACGTTTTAGAACAATTTTTAGATCAATATTTTCGGTAATTTTCTTAATGAGATCATATTTTATTTTATATGGTAGTTAAATATGTACGTTGTTATTGGAATGATTTGACTACTAAGAGGATATAAGGAATTAAAAGGTATTTGATTATTGATAAATCGAAATTTGTATGAAGCTAAGCATAATCAGAAAAAAAAGTTTCAATATTTTCATTATTTTAAGAAAAATTGAGTGACAAACGTTAACATAATCTTACTGTATAGTCATAAAACAGTTAAAAATCGAATTTAAATGTAAATAAGACGTTAAGTTTAAAAATCTCATTTTAAAATATTTTCAACGACAATAATTTATTATCCTGTTATTCAATAAGCTAGAATTTAATAAAATATAAAATAAATTTTCTTTTTGTAAGTGAACTTCACTCTTTAAAAGTCACTCAGAACATTTCAAATCAAATCGGTAGAAAATTATTGGTATTAAAATTTGTTGTGTAAAATCACTAGAAAATGATTCAATAGCATTTTTATTTGTTCCTATTAAAATTAATGATAATTAAATAAAATCGATTGTCTTCTTTGGATAAACTTAATGCTTACAATTTTGTAAGAATCCAATATCAGCGCTAAAATTCTCGGTGCCTGATGAAATTTTTTTGCATTATTTAATGCATAATAATGATAATAATTTAATAAATAATACGTTCATTAATCACCTTGTACAGAGTTACACCTTAAATATCCCTTGTATATGGTCTAGTAAAATCTTGTTTATTAGTACTAATAACTAATAAAACGGGTTATAAAAAAAATGAGCTTATAAATCGACATTTTAATCGAATAAATACTTTCCTTTCGGGTGTTAAAGAAAGTGATAAAAATAAACTAAATTAAATTAGAACAGCTTAAGTTTCAATTTATTGAAATGCCAAGGAAATTTTAATCAGTTAAAATTCTTATATTTATCGATTATTATTGTTTATATGAAAAATCCAAAATTCTATTAAGCATTGTGACAAGACTTGAAAACTGATTATTTAATTACTTTGGTATATAAAAAAAACAATTTACAGTTATTCTAGTTTACTTGTAGATTTAAATATATCCGTAAGTTATTTTCAATTTCTCAAATAATAAATTGAAATATATATTTTGATTACTGCGTAATAATCTAGCCCGTATAAAACTTTTAATTGCTATTCTCAAAAATATTTTATTTAGTAAACGTTCCCAAAACATATTTGATAATCAAAGAAAATACTTTTGAAAATTACGTTTTTCATTTCATTGTACAACTTTTGATTTGCTCTCGATTATACATTAAATTACCGTAATATAAATTGCAGCTAAATCGAATAATAAGAGGCTTATTTACTATTGTATGCGCAATCACAAAAGCTTTGTATAAAAGTGATCACGGCTAGAATACGAAGAAATGTAATATCTATTGCTTTTGAATTACACGAATGCGTGACAAAAAAGGTCGAGCACGAATAAACTTAGGACACTGTATAAGCCAATCGATCAATTACCTTTTATGAAAAATGAATAAAATTTTATATTGTTCAACCGAGAGAAATTTTTCGGTGATTGAATTTTGTTCTTTTTATGAGCAAATTATTGCGAAAATGTTCAAATATAACATGATACGGTTGTAACTATAGATTTGATAAATCCAAGTTGAAAATAAAATCTATTATTTCCAATAATCAACTTAAAAATGATAGAGAAAAAAATAATAATATTACATGTTTGCATGATTTAATGATTATGGCTTATCGATGACATGTTAAAATATCACTTTCTAAGTTTCAAAAATAAAATCAAACGAGTTATGGATGTTCATCGTAGTGTCTCCGATAGCATTTATAAGTAACAGAGTAAAGGTGTAACTATAAAGTTGGGTATCACAACAGGCAAATAAGCCACTCGAATGACTGCATTAAACTCGATTTAAAGCTCGAGCACGTTTTATAATACTCATGTAGGTCGTTTCCACGGAGTTTAATCCATTTGCCTGAGCATGCGGATGAGATGTGAATACGCTACTGAAAACGAAATATTTGACAACCATAACTTGTCAATGTCACGTGTAATAAATACCTTATTGATATAATACAATTATAAGGTAACCTAAAATCACATATGCAGTCGCAATCATGTTTTATTAATTGACTTGTAACTTTGTTCCGATGATACAAGATCATATTGTCAAGAAAATATTTTAAAATTATACAGTTAAAACTGTTTAATTGCACGCAACAACTATTTCGAAAATTATGTTAAAATCATAAAAATAGATTTCCAGTAACAATATCACATTTACTAATGCTCATTGGCTGATTACTTTTTTTTACCAACACACGAGTGTTTTAAAAAGTTGATTAGTATTTGTTACTCAATTTATATGTATATCTTTCTTATTTCTCAAATATTAAATATAAAATACTCGAGTGAGTAATTTTATATTTTAAGTATTCTAAACAAAATATACAGTCAATAACCTCCAAAATACACGTTTTTTGGAAGTTTTAAGATTTTATTACTTCAAATATATATAATTTTTTTTTTTTTTTAATGAGGTGATTTTAATATTATTTAAAATTTTAAATGTTGATTTAAGACTAAAAAATATTTTATTTAGAAAACCACGCAAATAACTAAAAAATTGCAGGTACATATTTCAGAAACAATGTTACCATTATCAACTTTAAACACAAACTTATGTGTTTATTTGTTGTTTTAAATAATATCATCCAAAATAAAATCAATTCTTATTATTCATTAATAATCATTTAACAAGTCAGCGAATCATACAAGATTATTTAAATGTTAAATGGTCCACGAGAATTTCGCATGAATTTTATAATAAGTAGACGGAACTTGACAAGTAAATTTCAAGTTTTTATGCACTAAAACGCATGTAACAACTACAATAGTGATAAAATTTCTAAAATTGATTTTCATAGTTTTGGCCTAAGCGTACTGGGTAGCATTATAATGAGTAATATCACATAGATATACAGAATGATTCTTTAAGGATAAGACACTCATTTTCTCGGTAACTATTGAAAAATTTTAATTTTCGGCAAGGAAAATATTGTTTGATTCAAAAACTCTACAATAATATGTAGTAAAAACATAATATTTTTCATCCCTTCAAGGTTAAAAAGCATTAACTTGATTTTTCTTAAATGGAAACCCCTATTTTAAATTTGTTATTATGATTTAAAATAAAAATATAAACAACTTTGCTCTTATAATTTTATTTTTTCGGATCAACCGTTCGTCTGTTACAGCTTGTTTAAGTTAAATGTTTTTAGACTAAATTTCTATTATTATTTAACTGTTTTGAATACAGGAGTCACTCATTTTCTATGGTGAAACATAAATTAATTTAACTTAATTCAGTTTATGAGGTTACGCTACAACTTTTAATACGTATCCGTCAACAAAAATAAAGATTACTTTGTGTATTATCGTAGTATTCGATTATTAAGAGTCACTATACTACGCACTATACCTCAAAGAGATGAAAAAAATTATGATTTTACTACATACTATTCTAGAGTTTTTTTGAATTAAACAATATTTTCCTTACTAAAAATTAAAAATTTTCAATAGTTACCGAGAAAATGAGTGTCTTATCCTAAATGAATCACCCTGTATATTAATCGCATTTAAATATAAAAAAAACTATTTTATTGTATTCAAATCATTTAAAAAATTGATTCATTTAACTAAAATGATTATTCTTTTAGAGCTATGTCAAATAAAAATAGAGGCTGGTAAATTAAATAATAACAGTACACGTTGTGACATTCAGATGAATATTAATTAGAACATTTCAATTAATTCATCGCTTCTTTTTAAAAAATAATGAATAATTTACCACGGAAATTTAATTAAAGAAAAAAAAATTAAAGGTTTTTCTTTTTAATTTGTTACCTACGTGTTTTTTGTTGATATTTTGTATCAAGGACTCAGTATAATCTAAAAATAAACAATATAAAATAATAATTTTGTTTGTCTAATTTAGAAGATTTCTTTTCAAATTAAAAAAATGTCAAATTTCAACATTAATATTTCTTTGGTTTTTTATATGCAGTTTTCATATAATCAGTATCTAATAAATTAAAAAATTTATATTACATTCGATGATTTTAACCAATAACGATATTTACTACTAGTTCCTACACATTTCATTTATACAAATTAAAAGTTATCAAAGCGTAATTGATAGTAAAATTTTAAAGTTTTTGTCCATTTAAAAAAAAATTAATTACTAAATACTTATAATGTTATGTAATGTTGAGTGGGTAAGTAGAAACAGTTGGAGTGATGTTATGAAATATCCAACTTTTCTCTTATGATTTTAAGTAGGTATTAAAACTCAACAATAAAAATAAAACGTACTTTTATTTATAAACTTTGAAAATTAAAAATTTTATTATACAAATCAATTAAAATTTTTTTTTCAACTATTTAAAAAATGTTGTATAACATTTAATG